TAAAATACACGATAGGTTATCCACACAAACACATGATATGGACAATCATACATTGGTGGTGAGCATAGATGTACAAGCTGTTAGTTATTGCAGAATAAGGAGAAGAGAAGATTCGTATATTCATCTCATGAGTTATATTACAATTTACATTGGGTATTTATACATTTCAGTAAGAAGTCTAACTAAAATGAATAACCGACCAACAGAACGAGAGAAATTAACTAATTGTAGTTATTATATCTAATACCCCTTCTCAAGATGGGTCATGAATGTTAAAAAGACCCAGCTTGGATACAGCTTGATGAAATGATTTTGGATGTAATGATTTGGTAAAGATATCAGCAAGTTGGTTTGCTGAAGACACATGTAGAAGATGCAATAGTCCTTCCTGCAGCTTAATTCGAGTGATGTGGCAATCTACTTCTATATGTTTTGTCCTTTCATGAAATGTAGGATTTTTAGCTATTTAGATAGCAGATTGACTGTCTGAAAAAATTGAGTAAGGGGTATTGATCTTGGAATGCAAGCTGTCAGCCAAGTATTTGATCCATTGAAGTTCACAAGTTAGTGAAGCAAGAGCTTTGTATTCTGCTTCAGAAGATGACCTGGAAACTGTTGACTGTTTCTTTGATTTCCAAGAAATAAGAGACTTTCAAAGGCAAACACAAAACCCAGTAACAGATTTTCTAGTGGTAGGACATGTGGCCCAATCTGAATCTGAAAAGGCTTGTATTTTAAAAGAACTTTCTGAAGGATAAAAGAGACCAAGACCTGGAGCATTTTTCAAGTATCTAACAATCCTGAGTGCAGCTTACATATGTGTATCTCTTGGTTGAGCAACAAATTGACTTAATTGTTGGACTGAGAAACTAATGTCAGGACGACTATTAGTGATGTAAAGTAGTCTTCCAATCAGTCTTCTAAAAAAAGTTCCATCAGGTAGTAAAGTTCCAGGATCTGCATGTAACTTTGTAGCAGGATCTGCAGGAGTAGATGCAGGTTTTGATCCAAGTAAGCCATCTTCATCAATTAATTCCAAACAATACTTTCTTTGATTGAGAATAATCCCCTTCTTAGACCTAGCCACTTCAAGACCTAAGAAAAATCTTAATGGTCCAAGATCTTTAATCTGAAACATTTTGTGTAAATGTTGTTTAACCATCTGAATTTCTGAAAGATTGTTGCCACTCAAAACAATGTCATCAACATAGACAAGCAAAACTGTGATGTAGTTGTCTTGAATTTTGAGGAAGAGAGAATGATTAGCAGAGCTTTGTTTGTAACCCAAATTAGTTAAAGCTGAGTTTAATTTTTTATTCCAGTTTCTGTTTGCTTGCTTTAACCCATAAAGGGACTTGTTTAATTTACAAACAAGTCCAGGTTGAGAAGTTTGGAGACCTTGAGGTGGTATCATGTAAACATCTTCATTTAGATCTCCATGTAGAAAGGCATTGCCTACATCAAATTGGTGTAAAAACCAATTATTTGCAGAAGCTAAGGCCAGTAAGAATCTCACAGTGGTAAGTTTTGCAATAGGAGAAAAAGTCTCAAAATAATCAAGCCCCTCAGTTTGTGTAAATCCCTTAGCTACTAATCTAGCTTTATATCTATCAATGCTTCCATCTGCTTTATATTTAATCCTATAAACCCATTTGCAGCCCACTGTCTTCTTGTCAGGAGGAAGAGAAACCAAGCTCCAAGTATTATTTCTATCCAAGGCATTAAGTTCAGTCATCATAGCTTGTTTCCAACAATCTTGTTTGACTGTTTCTTTGAAATGTGAAGGCTCAGTGAAAGATGAGATAGAATGGCAAAAAACAGTATGGTTAGAAGAACATTTTGTGTATGAGACATATGAATGTAATGGATATGGAGTGCTGATGTTGAATTTAGAAGTGGAATGATTATAACAGTGATATTGTTTCAGGTAATTAGGCTTAGATTTTTGTCTGGTAGACACTGATTGGAGCATGATGATTAGTGATTTCTTCAACAACAACATGTGATTCTTGGTTATTAATATCAGTGTTAGTTTCAGTAGAAGTGACATGAATATGATATATGAAAGAAAGATCATGGATCATGGATTCACAGTTAGACTCAGAAGGATTTGTGTTTGTGTTGAGATCTGTATTAAGAGAATTGATGGAAGGATATACAGATTCATGAAAAATCACATTTCTAGAAATGATGAATGATCTGGAGTGTAGATTGTATAGAACATATCCTTTAGTTTCTGATTTGAAACCAAGAAATATGCATTTGGATGCTCTAGAATCAAGTTTGGATCTATTAGAATTTAGGGTGGAAGCATAGGCAAGACAACCAAAGACTTTCAAGTGATGTAGGTTTGGTTTTGGTTATGAATCATCTCAAATGGAGATTTTTGTTTGAGAAATCTGGTTGGAAGTCGGTTGATCAAATGCACAGAATATGTGAGGGCATAAGACCAGAAGGTTTTTGGATTGAAACAATAGAGCTCTACAAACATTCAGTAGATGTTGATGTTTCCTCTCAACAATGCAATTTTGTTGAGGAGTTTCAACGCAAGTAGTTTCATGCATGATTCCTTTGGTATTAAAGAAATCAGTTATGAGGAATTCCTTTCCATTATCAGATCTTAATCTCTTCAGTTTACAATCAAATTGATTTTCAATGGTGATAATGAAGGGTTGCAATAATGATCTCACTTCATGTTTGAATTTCAAAAGGTGAATCCAAATAAAACGACTATAGTCATCAACTATAGTTAATAAATATCTATATCCTTCTATAGAAGAAACTGAAAGTGGACCCCAGATATCAACATGTATGAGTTCAAAGAATGATTTAGATCTACTTGTGCTGTCAGGAAAAGGAAGTTTCTTCTGTTTAGCAAAAGAACAAACATCATAAGCATGAATTTGTGGAAATTTTATTGAAACATACTGAGATGACAAAGTTTGTAGAACTTTATTTGATGGATGTCCTAACTTTTCATGCCAAACATTCTCAGCATTTGAAATTCTACTGTTTTCAACTAACACTGAATTACAAGCATCATGTGTAGTGTAAGAATCACAAGAGTTATCATCAAAAGATAATTGAAATAAGCCAGCAACTTGCCTATCTGCTCCATTCATCTTCAAGGTAGTTTTCTGCAAAATCAAACATTTGGATTCACAGAAAACAACAATGCAGTTTAATGTGGTTATGAGCTTTGGAATGGAAATCAAATGAACTGAGAAATCAGGTACATAGAGAGCATTAGAAAGTGTTAAGTGCCCAAGAATTATAGTTCCAAAATGTTTGGCAAAAACAACTTGTTTGTTTGGTAACTTAAGATGAATAGGTTGGATAGGTTGTAGAAATGAAAAACAACCTTTTGAGGGACAAATGTGGTCAGTTGCACCACTATCAAGTATCCAAGAATATTGATGAAAACTCATACCTGGATTGTTCATTGATTCAGTATGAGCAGAGTTGACAGAAGAGAATTGGTTTTGTGGTTGTTGGATTAAAGCCAATAATGCTTCATATTGATACTTGGAGAGATTATAGCTTGTTTCTGGTTTCTGTTCCTCCTGATCAAAATTGGTAAGCTGCAAAGTATTCATAGAATCCGCAATATTGGCAGAAGCAGATGTATTTCGTCCATTTGTTTTGTATCCTGGAGGGAAACCATAGATATGGAAGCAAATGTCTATGGTGTGGTTGGTCCTTTTGCATTTTGAGCAGTATTTATTTCCTCTTCCAGGAATATTCCCTCTTCCAACATTATTTCCTCTTCCACCACTATTTCCTCCACGTCCTGAGTGTCCACCTCTTGTGTTTGACAAGCTTCCTCTATTGTTCTGAGTGTAATTGGATTCATTAGTGAAAGTTCACATAGCTGCAGTTTCTTGAGGATTAATCACCACTTGATTTCCAAACTCACGTTCTTGTTGAATAACAAGTGAGAATGTTTTGGTCAATTTAGGCATTGGATCAATCAACATTATTTGAGACCTAACTTGAGAAAATTCTCCACTAAGTCCTCTGAGAAATTTAATCACACAATCATCATCACGCTCCTTTTGAATCTTAGCAAAAATACCGCATGAACATACTGTAGAACATGAACATTTTAGAACCGTTCTATATGTGGACAGTTCCTTCCAGATTGTCTGCAGCTTCGTATAGTAATCGGACACAGTTAGATTTCCTTGTTTACAATTTTGCAGATCATCTTGTAAATGAGCAATTCTAAATTTATCTCCATTTTAAAAACGACTACAGAGATCTTGCCATACTTCAGAAGCATTGTCGATCCACATAACAAATTGTCTTATTGATGATGTCATGGATCGAGTCAGCCATGACATCACCATCTTATTACACCTTCGCCAAGCTTCATAAGTAGGTTCAGTAATACCTGGAGAAGGAATTGTTCCGAGAACAAATTGATCTTTGTTCTTTGTTTCTAGGGCTACGAGCATGTCGTATTTCCATTGCTGAAAGTTGTTTTCTGAAAGTAGCGGTGTAACGAGAACAAGCGCTGGATTTTCTCCCGGATGCAAGAACAGAGGATTTGATGGATTTGTGATGTGATCCGGAAGATTCGAATGATCAGAAATCGTCATGTTTCAGATGAATAGATGAATTGATGAGATGAATCGATGAGATGAATTCAGTGATCGATGATTAAGGCGGAAGTAGGTGACTTCGTTAGCAATCGCTCTGATACCATGTTAGTTATTGCAGAATAAGGAGAAGAGAAGATTCGTATATTCATCTCATGAGTTCTATCACAATTTACATTGGGTATTTATACATTTCAGTAAGAAGTCTAACTAAAATGAATAACCGTCCAACAGAACGAGAGAAATTAACTAATTGTAGTTATTATATCTAATACAAGCAGAACTTTAATGTTATACCTGACCAATTAGAAATTTAGAACTTAAAAATAAATTATCGAGAAAGGTTAATTTGCAAAATTTTTATATTAGAGAATCAATACATTTAACCCTGCAAATAACACGAGCCTCAAAAAAAGCTCCTGAAAGGTTTTCAAAAACATCGTTTCCCCAATGAAGATCTTGCACACTGCAAACAACTGAACAAGTCAAGTCATTAGAGGCTGAATCAACAAATTTGTGAAGAAGACATTTTTAAAGTAAAAAGAACAGGCCAATCACATACGGATCGATTCAAGAGATTAGCAGCTGAAAAATTTAATTAATGTGGCAATAAATGATGGAAATGCGAAGCTGACATAGCCAATGGCATCTGTACGTTCTGCTGTGCCCACTGGGAATTGTCCACCCGCACCCCACGCCCTCTCTCTCATATTCATTCACTGCTTTGCCAAATCACGTGTTTAACACCCTCCTCCAATACCTAATCTTCCTTCTTCCCATCCACTCTGCTTCACTTTCTCGCTTGCCTGCAATCATCGTGTTTGATTCCTGGGTTTTGGTTTTTTCTGCTCTGAACATTTATTTTTGTTGACTCTAGCAAAGGGTAAGTTATTAACTTATAATGGTCACCTACTTAGGAGCTGTTCTGTTCTTATGGCTTATTATTGCTTATTGCTTATTCTTATTTACATAATCTCAAAGGAATCTTTGTCTGAGTTTTTTGAGATTTCCACAAATTCTATTTCTGTAGTATGGTTCTCATAACTTCTTGGACACACAGAGGGTATTTTTCAAATTTTTCGTTTGAATGGGTGTTTTTTTATTTTTATTCTTTCTGATTTTCAAGAAACATTTCTTTCTGGGTAATTGGGTTGGATTGTTGTTCTGATGTTTGCTCAAGAGAATTTACGGTCATAAGATTCTTATGTATGAATTTATAAGAAATCTTTGTCTGATTTTATTGAGATTTCCACAAATTCTATTTGTGTAGTATGCTTCTCATAACTTCTTGGACCCTACACACAGGCTATTTTTCAAATTTTTCGTTTGAATGGGTGTTTGCTTTTTTTTTTTTTTTTTAATTCTTTCTGATTTTCAAGAAACATTGTTTTCTGGGTAACTGGGTTGGATTGTTGTTCTGAAGTTTGCTCAAGAGAATTTACAGTTATAAGATTCTTGTGTGTGAATTTAGCTAATGTTTGAGTTTTTATTTGTGAATATGATGTTGAACTAAATTTCCATTCCTTAAGAATCACATGCTCCAAAGACTTCTGCTTTCTTATTCTTTTGGCTGAGGAAAAACTTTCACCTCTAATTTTTTAAAATCACATAAAATATTTTAAGTGAAATGATTTATTTTTTACTTGAAATTTCATTATTCATTACAAGCTCCACATAGAAACTCAATAAATCAAGAATGTTACGGAGTATATTTTTATTTTTGGAAGTGCTACATCTTCTTCCTACTGTATAGGAAAAATGCCAGAAGGAATAACAGCTGAGAAACTGTTAAACATGATGGAAACATTTTCAGACAGTGTATCAAAGCCAAGATCTGGTGCATTCTTTGAAGAGGACAAATCAAGAGCTGTCAGTGATAAATTGAATAGGCTGTTTGGGCGCCAGAAGCCTGTACACCATGTTCTTGGGGGAGGCAAATGTGGGTTATGCATACTTCTGTTAGTATATATTTTAATATTCATCCTATTATTATAATTATCATTAATATCAGTATATGAATTTGCTGATTCTGAAACTTCTTCATTCAGCGGCTGATGTGCTACTATGGAGGAACAAAAAAATCTCAGCCAGTGTTTTGGCTTCTGCCACAATTATGTGGATGCTGTTTGAATGGCTTGACTATCACCTCCTTACATTTATCTGCTTTGCTTTGATTCTGGGAATGTTTGTACAGTTTCTCTGGACTCATACTTCTGGCCTGGTGACCAGGTTAGGTTATATGCTCAACCCAAAGATATAAGGGCCTGTCTGGCTCGCATAGCTGAATAGCATGTAGTTAGGAGCTAAAAGTCTAAAGCTAATTGGTTTTTGAAGTGTTTGATGAAATAAGTCATTGAGTAGCCAATTTATGTCAAACAAAAGCAATGAAAACAAAAAGAGTGTTACTTATGTTATTTGTTCAAACAAATGAAAAGCTAGGAGCTTAATTTCTGAAATGCTTTACCTCCACAAGTCCATCCCAAGAAGATTGCCTTATTTGACTTTTGTGGCTAAATATGTGACTTTTCCAATAATATAGTCTTATTAAGGATTTGTAGAGTGAAAGTAATATCAAATTGTTCTTCCTTACTAAACTCTCATAAAAGTATTAAATGTATCGATTGGTGGAAGTTCAACACCTTTGACCAAAAAGTCAAGTGTCACATACTTATATCATTGAGGGGAAAACTATGAGGAAGCTTTGCAAGGCAGAGCTTATTTATGTTAAGTACTTATTCTGCCTATTAGTGGCTACGAAGCATGATGAATATACTATGTGGAGCTTAAAGTAAGTTATAAGCTTCTACCAAACACTGTATTGGCTCTTATAGCAGTACTGAGCATACAATTGCTACAGGTCTCCATCACAAGTTCCGCGTATTGTTTTGCCAGAAGAAGTGTTTGTCGGCATAGCGAAGAGCGTAGGGGCTGAAGTCAACCGTGGTTTGCGCTTCCTTCAAGACGTTGCCTGTGGCGGAACTCCCAAGCACTTCCTAGTTGTATGTTTGCAACAATAACTGTGTCCTCTTCTTTTATTTTCTTGCTTTTCACGTGAAAAACTGTGTAATAATATAAAAACTGATGCCTATTTATTCCCTTATGTATGATTCTTCAGTTTTTCTTTTATTTTCCTATATAATTCTCTAGGCTGTGACAAGCTTGCTGGCAGCTGCTATCATTGGAAGCTGGTGCAACTTTCTGACTGTTGTCTACATTGGTAAGATTAGTACTATTTTTGTTCCTCTAATATTTCCCCCTCCCTCCAAGAAGATAGTCTAGTCCTGATCAAACTGACAAGAAGGGCTTATAAATTAGTTGATTGGTGTATGAGTAAATATAGAAAGAGAAAAGTGTCAGTTTAGTACGTCAAGTTGTAAGCGGGGGAGTAAATAGTACATCATTTTGCAAGTGTGATTGAGAGGTACATGAAATCGTCAAATCAGTGCTAATTGAGTCCATCGATGTATTAGAACGTTTAAAACGCCTAGGTGGCAAAGAGATTAGTGATATGGCAAAATAAAAGCCACATCATCAACTAACTTGATGTCAGCCTTGCCTAGCCTCCTCTGAACCAGCTCTTCCTTTCCTCACATGGCTATCATCTCTGAACCAGCTCTCCTTGCCTCCTCGGAATCAAACCAAAACCCACCTATAACATCTAAAATCTTTGCACCTGTGACATCGGAATGAAACCTAAGAAATATGTCAAGAAAATATAGGAAACAAAAACCCTTTTTTCATCAAAAGGTACTAGATCGAGAGACAGATAGAGAAGAAAACGTATGGTGTTGATTTCGCCAAAGTGCATGCTATTGGGAGAGACAATGGATGCATTATTGCTTCGTCTCATGTCATTATAAATTGAGCCTATGTATATAAAAGATTTCATCAAAACTTCCACATTTAATTTTATTTCAACGTAAAATGCATTATGCATGGGTAAATTAATTTAATATACACAAAATTACAAAAGCAGAGAAAGTGACTAAGAGGGAATTGGATACTTCTGCTACAATCAAGAAGAGCACCTTCATGGACCATGGTGGTGAAAGGGAGCAGAGTGGGATAGTTTTCTGACGTCAAATAAACGTCCACAGCCGCCGCCGTCACTCCAACCGTCATCATATCTACACAAAATACACAAATTAAAGATGACTATTGCTCGAGTAAAGAAGAACAGAAGAATAAATAAATAAAAAAAAGGATCTGGGGACTGGGAGAAGGACAGAAAACCAAACAAAATTAAAACGTTTGGTTTGATGTGTGAATCTTGAAGATATCTTTGCAATAGAGAGTTAATAGGATATCAGAAGGGGTTCTTTTTCGTTAATTACAAATCTGTCAAAACTCAAAATCGACTTCAAATTTGTCCTCTTTACAATGGTTCTTGAGCTATCCTTCAGATTTAGTGTAGGTCGGCTCAGTATAGATTCTTCAGTGCAAAGATTTCAGACGCCACAGGCGGGCTTTGGTTTAATTCCGATGAGGCAAGGAGGCTACGGGTGACATGAGGTGGCTTTTATTTTGCCATATCACTTATCCCATTACCACCTAGGCGTTTTAAACACTCTAATACACCCATATACTCAATTAGCATTGATTTGGCAATTTGATGTACCTTTCAATCACACTTGCAAAGTGATGTACTCTTTACTCCCCTGCTTACAACTTGGTGTACTAAACCGACACTTTTCTCAGAAAGAGAAATTCATAGGCTCTACCACAACAACAACAACATCCAAACCCTAGTCCCAAACGATATTGGGGTCGGCTAACATGAATCAATACATGATATAGGAAAAGAAAGAAAATAAAGATAAAAAAGATAAGCTATTATAAAAAGAATATAAAAGAGATGAATATACATATAAAAGATAAAAAAAAATCCTTTTTTTATACTAGGCTCTACCAATCCTAAAAAATCCTTCAAATTATATTTTTTGGGAATGTCGATACTCGGAATTTATGAAAATGGTCGATACTAGAAATGTTTTGGAAAGTAAAACACTAAAGCTGCATCTCGTTAGTTTTTTTACAAACGATGATGAGATTATAGAAATTTTATATTTCCTTTTGCACAATTGCACTTCCCTATATTTCTCAAAATGTCATGGTAATTTTTTAGTCTCTTAACATTTTTATTAACATTCTTTGAGATTTTAGAGGAATTTTATTATTGCCACATAGGTATTAGAGACCTACAAGTTCAGACATAATTTCAGAAAAGTCGGTATATTTTCATCATTGGTTACAACTGATAGTATGTTATTAGAAAGCTAACCGGTCCCTGGCATTTGAGGTTGACAAAAACAACTTCAAGCAAGCTTTGAAACACAAAATAACCAAAAGGCTATATTTGAAGTAACTATTTTCAAGAAAAGGTGTTCCAAATTGAATTATAAGCTAATAGCTTGTGAATCTTCTCAAAGCAGCTTAGAAAACAAGTTTCCCAACTAAGTGTACAATATTTGAAAACTTTCTTCTAAAAGTCTAAAGCAGCTCATATTTAGCTTTCTGATTTTATAAACTACTCCATCAGTCTTAGAATATAAATCCTTCTTTGGGCGAATACTAAGAAACAAAAAAATGGTTGAATTTTCAAATATCCCTCTAAAAAGTTGGGAATCCATTTGAGAAATTGTGCAAATAGGTTAATGTATCAAACCATTGATGGATATGTAGGTAGGGGTTGGGTTCAATTAAAAAGTAGTATTCCCGTGAAAATGGAATGAAAAATGAGAATAATATTTGTCTTTCATCACTTAAAGATAAGTGAATTAGATGAATTTTTAATCAAAAATTATGGTGGCAAAATATTATGTAGTATGTAAATGTTTATAATACAAAATGGATTGTTTATATATACAAAGTGCATTCATCAATATCATTTAGGTCTTAATCTCAAAAGAGTTTCGGGTCTTGACATTTTATGCACATTTTATTTTGCACTAAGATGCACTTTTGTGACTCACATAAACCCTTTTTTTGTATATTTTGATACATATTTGGTTCAGAATTTTTGTCTAAAGTTCTTAGAATTTGATCTCTTTCATCCATTATTTCATATCAATGGTCAATATTAGTTCTTTTGTTTCATCTAAAAGTACTTTTTAATTTGAGTCAGTCTATGTGTGTGTGTGTGTATATATATATATATATATATATAGGAAATTTGTCCTTAACCATGAGGTCTTCCTTGATCTTTCTTTCTCTCATTCGTACTTAATATTGAAAATTGGCAAAGGTTTTGTTGGAGCCCACACACTGCCAGTGCTCTATGAAAGATATGAAGATGAAGTGGACGGCTTTGTATATAGTGTGTTTGAGCAGCTGCACCACCAATACAGGAAGCTTGATTCTGGAGTTCTCAGCAGAATCCCCAAAGCCAAACTCAAATTGAAGAAGCACGAATGAAGAACCCTAAAAAACGCTACACATTGTTTGGGTTTTCGATTAATGAATTGTATCATGCTGCTGAATTAATATAAGGTTTTTTCATTGAGAATGTACAAACTATGATTTAGTCACTAATTTTGTGCCTCTGAGATTTTGTTTTGTTTCGTGAGACATAAGGTAGTGTTTGGTTATAACTTTCAATTGATTGCGAGACATAAGGTATTGTCTCGATTTTAATATAATGGACGCTGTTTTATGATATAATTTTTTTTCAATTGATCATGATTCGTGAGACAGGGTAAGATTCTCATAAATTTTAGGTAGGCGTGGACTCGGGCCGATTCGGACCCGGGCCGGACCTAGGCCCAGTCGGGCCGGCGGTTCAGGAATGGGGGGCCCGGAACCGGCCCGGGTACTCCCCGAGTCCGGGCCGGGCCGGGCCTTAGTTATTACTCCCTCCGTCCCGAATTATAAGAACTTTTCGGTTTACGATGTTTGACTGACGATAAAACAAATGGATCCCTGTGTGCACTCAAATTAATTTTAGAAAAAAAGAATTACATATTCAGAAACTACATTAAAACCGCTACAAAACCTGCAAAAAATAATTCAAGTTTCAATTTTTCCTTTTCCTAGTTAACCCCCAACCCCCCCCCCCCCCCCCAAGCCACCCCAAATGGCTCAAAATACCCAGCCCAACTCGAAAACAAAAAAAATTGAAAAAAAAATTAAAACGAACCGGAACCGGGCCCCAACCGGCCGGGCCGGTTCGTGATTTAGGGGGCTCGAGCCTGGACCGGAACCCCAGCGGGTCGGGCCTACCTGGAACGGTCACTGACCTGGCCACCGGGCCGGGCCGGAACAGTGCCGGTTCGGGCCAGTTCCGAGTCGGGCCACCCGGCCCGAGTCCACCCCTAATTTTAGGCTATATCGTATCAACTTTCAATTTAGAGCCTGTTTGATAACGCCAAAATCGACTGAATCAATTGATATTTATGAAGTTTCGACTGAAGTGGTTGGATTGGTTGATTCTATTGATTTATGACAAAATTATATTTAAATTTATTTTGTTAATAAAATAAAGAAAAATTACATAAAAATAGTTAAAATAGTTATTTAGTAAATTCAACTAATACATCCATAAAAGTAATGCTAATCTTATTTTTTCTTTTTACTGCACATTTCAGTGCACAAAATTAAAAATTGCGTGTTTGATAAAAAGGTAGATGGACAAATTACCAAATTGGTAAAAAAGAGGGTCATTTGACAAATTGATAAAAAAACAATTGAGACAAATTGGTAAAAAAAGGACTAATGACGAATTGTTCAATTTTTTGCGAGTTATAAACTTTTGATCATCGACTTTAGAATTCTCGACCTTTCATATTCTAAAGTATCATGAAATTGACATTTTCAGTCCTTTTACTTTGATTTTGTCATCAAAAGTGAAACTCTAGAAATGTCAACGATCATGTTTGATAATAACATTTGTCCGGTAGCTAATAGCCGGTTGAATCAGCATATCTTAAAAAACTATAAGCACCAATGATGGTAAGGTTGCATTAGAAATGAAAAAAATGTTAGTGTAATAAAGAAGCAATAAAAGTTTGTTCAATATGCATAATAAGTTGTACATTTTGAATTGATTGACCTTTATAACCCACCTCTTCCGTTTCTTTCCGTTAAGTTGAAAACAAATCCAATCATTTCCGTTGCCTTTGTGGCTTTGTAACTCTTTAGGAGTTTAATCTCAACTCTAAGAACATTTATTTTGGTTATTAATAAACAATACTTTTCCTCTTTCCAATAAAAAGAATATTCTATGGGAATCAGTCAATTAGGCCGCAGGTCTCATACTCATCCTCTCAAACATATACGGTGCTCCAAAGGCCATTTTACAAATTGCAGGTAGGACTCCAATATAGAACGAAATGCATTTGACCATTATTATACCGTACGCGTAGGGTAATTGTTAGTTCTTAATGACTGAAAAGATTTAAAAAGAAAAGATTATTAGCTATTTGATAATAAAAGTTGACTGTTTGATTTAATTATATTTAGGGTTACAAGTTGCATGTTCTAACTAATTAATGTTTAAAACTACAGACTTTTCTCAAATGTTAATCATTGTATCCTTTCAAAAAAAGATTTTTTATTCTGATGATAAAAACTCTTAAAAATTACCCTGTCAAATATACAACTAGAAACTTTTCAAAAATTGTAAATAGTAGAAAAGCTAGAAGGTAGGACTTATGCCTACTAAACATATATGCTCGTAGTATATATTAATATTTCCGACTGATAATGACTTTTAAACTGTACCGATAAAACTTGTACTCTGGTCTGGTCTGGTGATGTTTGACTTATGTGTATTTTATAACTATTGAAGCTCGATCTGATCTGGTCTATTTAAGTCTGAAGTGGTCTAATTAAATTTGATCTGGTCTATTTTGGTTTGGGACTGCAATCAGTCCCAATAAAAACATTCTTATTTATCAAAAGTTATACGATTTTTGGTAGATCTTTTTCACTTTTCTTGGGCCACAATTGCTCTCGTGTTTTCTCCCGAGCTAATTAGCAAATCAAATATTAGAAAAATGGATCCGGTCTATTTTTATATACGATGTATGACTCCTTCTCCAATATATAAGTTGGTTGTATCGTAATCACAAGAACATCAATATCGAATTGATACATAGGAATGACAATTATATTTATGGTCATCAACACTTAAATGACCTACTAAAAACTACAAGAAATGTCTAACCTAATAGTATGTTGGGTGAAAATGGATTGGGTTTTTTACTTCTCTCTTCAAGGCAACTAGACCTAAATCTGATTTGGTAGTAGAACTCTTCAGGACATATGCCTAATAAACATACTCGTAGTATATATTAATATTTCCGGCTGATAATGGCTTTTAAACTATTCCCATAAAACATAGATCATTTCTAGGCTATTAAGATGTACTCCGTATTTAACTGGATTGTGATTTTCTGGCCTCATTTGGTTTGATCTGGTATGACCGGGTTTGTTTAGGTCTGTTCTGGACTGGTGATGTCTGCCCTATCTTATTTTAAAACTATTGAAGCCTGGTATGATCAGGGTTGGTCTTAAATATGGATTGGTCTAATTAAACTTGATCTGGTCTATTTTGGTCTGGTTTGGGACTGCAATCAGTCTCAATAAAAACATCCTTATTTATCAAAAAAATTATCATACATTTTACGATTTTGGAAGATCTTTTTCACTTTCCTTGGGTCACAATTGCTCCCATGTTTTCTCCCGAGTTAATTAGCAAATCAAATATTAGAAAAGTGGACCACAATCGTTGCCATTCTAGGATGTATATCATATCATTTGGAAGAGTGAATGGTCTTGCTGGATTCAAAATTATATTGTCAATGGTATTGGGCACTATCCCACACGCGCAACGCGCGTTGAAAAACTAGTTGATAATAATGGATTCCGTTAGCTTTTATAACTAACCGCTTTCATTAGCGTTTGAAATAAAATGTTAGTAATTTAATTGTTGACTATTAAATGCTAAGACGTAAAATGACAATTAAAGATATGAATTTAAAAGTATATATTTAATCTTAACTTTATTTAATAAGTGAAGGATGTTTTAAAAATTATATTTACATTTATTTTAAATAACCACGTAGCATTTTTTTTAAACTAATAAATAGTCATATGCAGTAGAATTCTAGAGCAGAATTTTTAAACGGAGTAGACTTTATAAAAACTAATAAATATACATATTAAAAATATTATTACTAAAGATATACTAGTATGCATTTATATGTGTGTGCTCGCATTAATGTACTTATCTTAAAAATGATATTGTTAGTAATTATTTAAAATAAACGTAAACATAACTTTTAAAACATTTTCCAAAACTTATGAAAAATAGAAAGAAATAAAAATTAATTTAAATATATAAACTTTTAAATTTATTTTTAATGGTCATTTTACGTCTGAAAAACTAATTGTTAATTTTAAGTTACTAACATTTTATTTCAAACCGCTAATGAAAGCGGTTAGTTAAAAAAGCTAACAAATCCACTTTTGATGACAATATCAAATTAAAATGATTGTAAATGTCAACTTCACAATACTTGTTAGAATATGAAATGTCAGGAATTCTAAAGTCAAGGATTGAAGGTTTATCACTCACAAAAAATTAAACAATTTGTCAGTTTGTCACTAGGCCTTCTTTTCTTTTACCAATTTGTTTCAAGTGGTTTTTTACTGATCTCTCCAATGACCCTCTTTTTTTTACCAATTTGATAATTTGGCCAAATGTGATTGATAAGTCTCATAAGTTGAAAAGAGAGTCACCTAACAGGCTTTTAAAGTACTAATCAATGATCACTTATACGTACAAGGAGTTTGGGTCCTATAGTTTAACTAATAATTAAATTAAAAGATGTCAACTCTTACATTCCAACAGTTTGCATACGTAATTATTTTACATGATGGTTCTAATCGGAACAAATAAATTTTAGATTAAAATGGTTCTTTATATATTTTATAAGAAACTTTAAATGATAATAACCTACGGATTCGGAGCATCTACCTTGCTTTAGAGCAAGGTAGAGTGTCTTGCTTCCGGACAGCCGTCAGATCGGCAATTCAACGGCCGTAGATATTGGGGACCAACACTTGCGCTGATCTCGAGGTCGTCCTCGTCGCTGTCCTGCCGTTCGATGCGCAAGGTACCCTCCTAGTCGGGCAGAGAATCCCAATCCATAACCTACTAGCAGATTCCAAAACTCATGCCCAATTCGAACTCCAGTAATTCCAAGATGACATCTTCAATGCAGCTGCTGCTTCATACGGTTCCAAATGGTGCCTTTAATAAGTAAAATACCCAGCCACATCTGAAATCACACCCTGGATACCTTCCTATTAGCTAACAAAAGCCAAGTGATTTCATTTCTATATGTAGAGCTTAGTTTTTCGTCGGAAAAGTAGAGTCTGTATGCAAATGTGTGACCTATCTACAAGTGCAATTTTACTTCTGTATTAGGGACTAAACTTTCAGTTTTATTTAAAAAGTTATGCTCTTTATTTCCCTCTTTGTTTTTGTGTTTTTCCCTCCAATCGTTCACCATAGTATGAATCTAGATCTTAAAAACTGCACACATCTTAACATGTAAAGACACTAAAATTAGGAAACTTATCTTCCTCATTTGGTCTGAAATTTTCTGATAGTAGTTGAAACAAAAACAGTCTTCCTCATTGTGATTATAGTCGAATTTACATCTTCTCATCATGCCGTCTGATCGGTGTTAGGGGCCTCTCAAGAATGGGGTGTCATCCTTTTTTTTTTTTACAAAAACAATTCTCCGCTATCTTCCCCCAAAAATCTCCCTACCAAATACACCCTAAAGGATTGGTGGAAGACTGGCAAGCATTATAAGTGACACTTTTGAGCAAAATAATTGCATCTTTCATAGACTTCTAAGCCTTGTTGGTCAAGTTCATCGTTGTTGAAGCACGCACACCGCTTACACATCTTCCCAGTACGTGATGGTTATTTCTATATGTCGTTGAACCAGTCTTGGATAACCCTCATCACACCAAACCTGACACAAAAGCTGAAGCCAACATTTAACCCAAACCTGACACATTATTTGCATAATAAATATTAAAATTGATTCACGTTTTTTGGCACATTGAAATAATTCTCTATTTCTCTTATGTAAGTTTTGATTAACTGAGAACTGGTTAATGACCATATCCATTACCCACGCCTCGTTACATCCCATACTCGCTCCATAAAAATATCTATTCATTAATGTAAGGTTAAAGTAGTATTTTGAAGGGTGAAATTAACTCATGTAATGCATTAACTCATGGTGAATTGTTAACCTTTTTATGACCGTTTGGAAATCATACAATGCCTGGGGGAGAGGAGAACAGTTAAAGAAATTAGAAGGGAAGAAATTGTGATGAAAATCAATGTGTGTGTAAACTCAATAGGAGTAATGGAACCAGGATCACCTTAAAACGGTGTAAATCACCATTTGATCAGAATAGAAACCTAAACCAGGACCCATGACCACAGTTCTAGTTATAGTTTCGATTATTATGAGATCGGAACCCGCAAGTTCGGAAAAGTCTCTAATCCATAAGTCCATATATACAAACAAGAGAAAAGAACAATTCTTTGGCTACAAAATAATAGTACCTCAGATCCCTCATCTTGACTCCACCTGGAATTGCAGCCAGGAATCTTCTCTTCTTCATTTTTTTGCTTCTCAAGCAGTTGAGCACCTCTAGCAGCCTTCACTTTTGCTCCTCTTAAATACTTTGTGGGGTTCCCTTTGCTGTCATAGTATCAGCCAACTAGGTTCCCAACAAATCTGAACTTCAAGAAATCTATGCTTACCATAGATTACCTCTCTTCTCATTTGATGATATAGGATAAGAGTAAAACCAAAATGTACTGAAATCACACTAAAACAATTGAAAATTCATACAAATCACATGTATGTTTTGAAGTAGAAACCACTCCATTCAACAAATGGAGAAATCACATTTTCAATCTCTCGAATAGTGCACACATTGAAATGTAGTCCTCATATCTTTAAGTGTGTAAATGTCACCCCTCAAATGGCCCGAATTATTTTGAATGTGATCCTCGCCCACATTATAAATGTCACCACTCAAAGGAGGAGTGCAAACGACATACTATATCATTCCAAAAGCATTTTTAATGTGTATAATATGTAGATTAATCTGCTTAAAGGAAAAGCATTCTTAATTAATCATAATGGTCTCAAGATTACTGGAACATTTGGAAAGAATTAAATTAGGATTTCTGTGAGACTACTGTTATTGACTACCTTGGCCATAGGGCCGGGACTTTGGAACCAAGAACCGGAGAACCGAATCGGACCGAACCGTTATGACTCGGTTCGGTTCCAACATTTATTAGTTATTTGTTAACGGTTCGGTTCCTATTTTTTTTATTAACGGTTCGGTTCTCGGTTCCTGAAAAAAATATGTACCAAGAACCGTTAAGGAACCGTTATATATAATAATTAAAATTATATACATATTCTTAGGAGTATATATATTTTAATGCATATTTACTTACTTATTTTTATATTACATTCATTGTTTTAGTTTTGTTATTTAACTATTTAAAACTATTATTCACTTCAACCGGTTTTCTTAGGCTTCTTAGGCCTCTCATTAGGTCCAAACTCCAGCGGATCGGAACATGGAAGGTCCAAACTATTTAAAATTATTATTCTCTTTAACTGGTTCAACATATTTGTATTGTAATTTCCAACGTTGAATGTCTTTTTGCCAAAAATTTAGTTGTAATTTGTAAAAAAAATCAAAGACTAGGAACCGTTAAATGACAAGAACCGAACCGTTAAGAACGGTTCGGTTCCTTATCGGTTCTATCAAATAATTTATAAGAACCGAACCGTTACTAAAATTTCATATTTTCAAACGGTTCCACATATTTTGCCTAGGAACCGAACCGGTCCCAAGCCTACTTGGCCATATACTCAAAGAATCACTGGTGGTGTGGTGGTGGTGGTGATTGTGATTGTGATAGTAGTAGTAGTCGTGCTCATAGTAGTAAGTGGTGGTGGTGATGGGGGTAGTCGTGGTAATAACTATAAGAACAACAACAAGAACAACAATATTAATAATTTATAATTAATATGGATGGAGCAATTCATATTTTAAAATAAAAACTGAGCAAGTTAGAAGCGAAAAATGGATGGAGCACATAAGAACACATCCTAAATGACGATAACTTGCGCCGTTGGAGAAGCAGCCTGCCCTCTCAATTGCCGTTGTAATTTGCTTTGATCAAATGTTACAGTATATGGTGGATTTTCCGACCATGTAAGCCCTTTGTAATCTTTTCTCTCCTCCCACCTCCCTCCTTTACTAGCACCAGTATACCACCTATAATCCCTGCGTAACACCATCCTCTCAAGAGCCAATGCACTTTTCAGGATATACAATACCAAAGCAACCTCATTTTCCAAACCACGGAACCCACCAAACTCGACTTCTTTAAGATGAAGATGAAGATGATGGTTTCTGAGAGATGCTCCCGTTCTCCAAACATAGTATGCTTTTCTCCCCCTTCCCTGTAAACATGGAAACTTATCATCATTACCCAGCAGTGTTTGTTTGCTGGAGAACTAAAAACAAACTGATAGTTTCCTGGTAAACGACTCAAATGTTCTCTTGCTTGTATGTTTAAATATAATATAACAGTGTCCAACCCACAAAAAAAGAAAAGAAAAGGAAAAAAGAAGAATTGTTTCATAAAGATTGGCTCCCGCTTTTTCAAAAGATGGATGTCATTTTCGAGAAAGTTGTATTCGTGTGCCAAACACAGGAAAATACAGAATGCCTTCTTCAATATTTCTGGAAACAAACACTGAAATACCCAAGTTTTGGACATAGCTTAACGTTAGCAAATGCACTCTTCTGCAAAGGTTTATGCTTACAGAGAGGAAGAAAGAAGTCTTGTTCTGCCAAAATGGATCCAGCTTATTTTAATAATATCAAATACTACGTATAAAGTTCCCAATAAAGGTGAATCAAATAATTTTACCCAGGTTCATCTTAATCCAAGCATACCATTAATTAAGAAAGAATACCCACTTGTCCTCACTAAAGAAGGGGACTCACCACTAAATGCAATCTCTGAAGCAGTGGACAGGCAGTGATTAAAGCAGCAACTTGGGTCACATCAAACAACTGATTGTACTCCATTAGTATGTAAAGCTGCCTCAAATGACCAAATGTGGGCACCTCACTTGGCAAACTATATGCCCAAGGGTGGTCTCCAAACCACATATCAAAATAAAGAGATTCAACCTGAGGACAATCCTTTCCTACCCATGTAATGATGTCACGCACATCATGAGGGTACATTACCGAGATGCTGACATGCTGGAGCTTGGGAGCATTGGTAGGGTGGGAAAAGTTCATTGCTGAATCTACCTCTAATTCAATTTCCAAGATTACAAGGTTTTCAGCACATAAAGATATCTCATTCACCCCCCCATAACACATATAAATGATTAATGATTTCAACTTCAGTTGTTTCCCTCCGCCAATGAACAGCTCAGAAGGAAGACAGCAATACTCCAATGTTAGAGACTCAAGTTCCGGACATGATTACAATATGCCCTGCACATCAACTGATTCGATATAACCCAACCTTAGGGATGTTAGAGATTTGAAAGGCCACTGGGGATTGAAGGGTTCCAGGATGCATGCGACCAAATGCAGAGACTTAAGCATCGGTGCTGCTGCTGCTTCACATAAAAGCTTCTGAAGCGGAAATGTGGTATTTTGTTGACAAAAAAACCTGAGTGCAAGCTCTTCCACACCCAATTCAGCAATGTGACACTCCAACGCTCAATGTGACACATGAAATCTCTCTTCATACACAATGACAGGCAGAAAGATTTAATCTTTTGACAGCCAGCTCCTCTAGGCATTCGAAAAAAACGATCCAAGACAGTCAGAAATTTCTTCCTGTACTTAGCTGTACAACTACACTGGTCAAAGAAAGGAATCTCGCACGAGCATCGGCAGCTAAAAGAATAATAAGGCAGAAAAATATAAAGGTTACTCCATCGACTATACAATATGCTAGTCCTAACCACATCTTTTGTATCCAGTCGTGAGAGGTAATAGAGAGGGGAGAATGAATGATTTTCGTATATATCACACACATATGAAATTGGTTGCAATTTATACACATCCTAACCATGTATATAAGGTAAATAATAATCTTCACTAAATGACAAAAGATTGTAACTACTAATCACAATATTCTACTTATTTTATTTTAAGTGTAAATTATTTCTTTCCTTCAATACGCCCCCGCAAGCCAGGTATTCTATCACTGACAAGAATCCTAAGCTTGTCTCTAAGAAGGATGAAGCGTTGCCGGGGAAGCGGTTTGGTGAGGGCATCAGCTATCTGATCAGAAGATGGGATGTGATGAACTTGAAGAAGTCCACGTTGAACCCGCTGCCGAACAAAATGAAAGTCAATAGCCACATGTTTCATGCGAGAGTGGAAGACAGGATTTGCTGAAGATGTAGTAGCACCTTTGTTATCACAAAGGAAGAGTGGAGGAGAAAGAAGTGGGTGCCGCAACTCACGCAGAAGAGATTCAATCCATATAATTTCAGAGGCAGCGGTGGAAAGAGCTCGGTATTCAGCTTCCGTGGAAGACTTTGCAATAGTGCGTTGCTTGACCGATTTCCAAGATATAAGGGACTCCCCGAGAAAAATGACATATGCGCTGGTAGAGGAACGGTCATCAGGATTCCCTGCCCAGTCAGCATTAGCAAAGGCACGGAGAGAGGGGGATGTAATGCGACAAAGAAGGAGGCCATGAGAGGCAGTGCCCTGTAGATAGCGCAAAAGACGTTTGAGAAGCTGCCAATGATTAATCGTGGGTTTATGCATGAATTGAGCCAGTTTTTTAATTGCAAAGGCAGCGTCTAGACGGGTAAGATTCAAATATTGAAGTGACCCAAGGACTTGACGATAAAGAGTGGCATCACAGGAGCCTGAACTGTCAAACAGAGTTAATGAAGCAGAGGGAGCTAATGGCGTAGCCACAGGATTAGCCTCATCCATCTTCAACAACTTCAATAAGTCCATAATGTATTTATGTTGGTCAAGAAAGAGTCCACTTTGTGTAGGAGTAACCTGCATGCCCAAAAAATAGTGTAAGGCTCCTAAATCCTTGATAGAGAACTGGTGGGCCAAGGAGTCAATAGTCTGACGTATCAAGTCTGGTGTAGAGCCCGTAACAATAATGTCATCCACATACACCAATACATAGATGTAAGATGGATGGGATGAAAAGATGAACAGACTGACATCATCAACAGATTGATAAAACCCAAGTGAGAGAAGAAAGCCACTAAGAGATTGATACCACACCCGAGGCGCTTGCTTAAGGCCATAAATAGATTTCCGAAGACGACAAACAAACCCAGAACCATCATTGAAGCCAGGAGGTTGCTTCATGTAAACTTCTTCGTGAAGATTTCCATGTAGAAATGCGTTATTGACATCTAACTGATGTACCGGCCAACTATGAGAAAGAGCAATAGTCAAGACAATGCGAATAGTGACCGGTTTGATGACCGGGCTAAAGGTGTCAGAATAATCAATTCCAAGGCGCTGATGAAAGCCTTTAGCCACTAACCAAGCCTTATAGCGATCCAAGGAGCCATCCGGTTTATATTTCACGGTATATACCCATTTACAACCCACAATATTCTGACCAGGCTGAGCCGGAACAAGATCCCAAGTGCCCTGTCTAACCAAGGGCATCAAATTCTACTGTCATAGCACTCCGCCATTCTGGTACCTGCATAGCTTGAGAAGCACAAGTGGGAATTATATGGTGAGGTAAAGGAACATTAGTGGCAATATTAGCCTGTTTGCGGGGTCTAAGGGTCATCGGATGGGTACGTTTGGGTGGTGGATTATCAAGGGGTGGTTTTGTGGTAGTGGGTAGATGAGGGGTGGGGATAGGAGGATTGGGTTTGGGTCGGCGTTGGTAAGTAATAATTTGTGGTGGTGTGGGTTTAGGGAGGGGGGAAAGTTGTATATCAGTTTGGGTGGAGGTATAGGGTGATGCGTCAAGAGCCAATTATTGAGTCGAGGTATGAGTAGTTGGAGACGCCCCCGCGACCAGATTACCTGAAGTAGGAAGATAATACATAGAAGGTTGAAGCCAGTGATCAACTTCAGAAGTGACATTTGAGACGGGTGGTGAGGATGCAGAGAAAGGGAAGACGGACTCGTCAAACACTACATGCCTGCTGACAAAGATACGATTGGTGGTAATATCAAGACAACGATAGGCACTTTGTTGATCACAATACCCTAGAAAAACACACGGTTTAGAGCGTGGTTCTAATTTATGAGTGGTATACGGACGTAACCAAGGGAAGCATTGGCACCCAAAAACAGCAAGTTTAGAATAATTGGGAGTTTGTTGGAAGAGTTTTTCATATGGGGTGCAGAAGTTAAGAGAGAGGGCGGGTTGTCTATTAATGAGATAAACTGTTGTGAGAAAAGCATAGGACCAATATTTAAGAGGCATGGATGCATGGTGAAGAAGGGTGATACCAGTTTCCACAATGTGCCGATGCCGACGTTCATCAAAGACATTGTGTTCTGGAGTGTAGGGAGGCGTATATAAATGAGAAATATCACATGTGTTTAGGAATTTCCCTAAGGTTATGTATTCGCCTCCCCCATCAGAATAAACTGTTTTAATTGTGCGTTGGAAAAAGTTTTCCACAATCTTTTTAAATTGTTGAAAGAGTGGAGTAACCTCACTTTTATGAGTCATAGGATAAAACCAAATGTATTTGGTATAATGATCAACAAAGATAACATAGTAACGAAAGCCATCAACAGAAATAATACGAGCAGGACCCCAAACATCTGTATATATTAAATCGAGAGGTCCAAAGCTCGAAAGAGATGATTTTGTAAATGGCAGCTTATGGCTTTTATTACTAGCACACGAGACACATAGAGAAGTATTTGTAGTAACATCAGAAAAAGAAATACCTAAAGAAGACAGAATTTTTTAGTGATAGGGAGGGCAGGATGTCCTAAACGACAATGCCAATTATTAAGGGTATATTTTTGTGTGATGTGAGCAGATGGAGTTGGTGGGGGGGGGGGGGCATCTGGCAAGCTGTAGATGTCTCCTTTATTCATACCCCGTAACAAAATTGCTCCCGTTCATCGGTCCTTAACAAAACAAAAGGAAGAATGAAATTCAATTAGTACGTCATTATCACGACATAATTTGGCAACAGAAATTAAATTGGTATGAATAGAAGGGACAAAAAGGGTATTAGGTAGAGAAAGAGAGTGAAGTGTCATATGACCAACTTGTGCTATCGCAAGACCTTTACCGTTACCAATGACGAGAGAATCAGTGCCAGTATAATCGGATGCCAAGGTAAGATTATTCAGGTTGTTGGTGACATGATTGGTTGCCCCAGAATCGAGTAACCAACCATTGTGCCGAGTGACAGCCGTATTGACTTGAGGGGGGTAAGTTTGTTGTTCAAACCGATGCCAACAGTTGAGAGCAGAATAATTTGGTTTCCCACAAATTTGACATGTAACATTGCCCCCAAAATTACTATTCCCCGAGCTATTGCGGGCTGCCTGGTTGCTAGTAGGACCCCCAAAGTTATTATTTCCACGTCGGTTGGGACCATAATGAGTATTGGGCCGCTGATTTCTGGGTTGAGGCCGATTAGAATTGTGGCCTGGATAATTATTGTGACTGGGCTGCTGTGGAAATTGGGCCGGTGGTCCTGGGCCCAAAATTGATGGGGTTGGATTTCCCCTGCGAGCCGCAAGAGCTACGGGCTCCCCAGTCGCGACATTATTAGCCGTCACTACACCAACGAAAGTGCTCATATCTTCCCGCCGCTTCATGGAGGCTTCGAAGCCTGTGAGCAGAGTATAGATGGTCTTGAATCTGTTATCGCCGCAGGTACGAATCGAGTTAGCAAAAGATGCGAACTCGAGTCGGAGTCCCTCCAGAGCTTGAACGAAGAAATCTTCGTCGTCTACAGGGCGGGCGGCGATGGAGATACACCCCCACCGGTTGAGAGCCTTGTTTGGTGTGGCGGAAGGTGTCCTTCATATTTCGGATTTGAGATGGCGATCGAGTCCCATAGATGTCTTCAAGAGCCTTCCAAACTGCTGCAGATGTACGACAGGCTCCAACGAGAGGTTTACATGCCGAACTCAGAGACGCTATGAGTGCGTGCCGGATGAGTCGGTCTTGCCTAGTCCATCGGAGATGGTCATCTGTATCAGTCTTCGGTGGCGGGGCAGCGTCATCTGATATAAACTGATCAAGGTGAGACCCAAAAAGAAGATCCAGAATCTGATCTCTCCATACAAGGTAATTCGAACCATCTAACTTTTCTGGGAAGTGACTGGGATTTAGCAGGATTAACCCATCTGGGGTGAAAGGAGAAGAAACTGTGGTGGGTGGGATATTAGAGGTAATAGGTGTACTGGTAGGAATATTGTTGTGGTCTCCTTGCCTGAGGAGAACCTCAGGCTGGCTATCATCGTTGGTTGTCATAGAAGAGGGGAGGGCCGCTTAGAGCTCAGAGGCTCTGATACCATAACAGAGAGGGGAGAATGAATGATTTTCGTATATATCACACACATATGAAATTGGTTTACAAGGCTGCTATTTATACACATCCTAACCATGTATATAAGGTAAATAATAATCCTCACTACATGACAAAAGATTGTAACGGCTAATCACAATATTCTACTTATTCTATTTTAAGTGTAAATTATTTCTTTCCTTCAATAAGAGGATGGAGCACAATATATCATTTGGCATTGCACTTATTAGGTCCTCCTCAGTGTAGTCATCATCATCCCTCACCTCCTAATTAAATTGGAAACCATAATCACTTAATTTCATACATAAATCATTACTGAAAATTAACAAACACAAGTTGCGCTTTCATATAACAAAATATAACAAAAGAACCATCTTTCAACAAAAGAAATCCTTTTTTCATTGAAAATAACTAGATGTTTTCATTGAAATAAACTTGATTGTTACAACAGAACAAAAAAGTGTGCCCCAACTAAGTTAAGCATGATATATTTAGCAAACAAATAATTTCAAAATATGAGTAGGACGATTGATTCAAAAGGGTTGCAACTTTCCATAAACTTGAAAACGAAACATGACTTTTTTTTTGCTTGCTTTAGGGATAGAGT